ACCACCTCCTCCAGGAATCTACCCTCCACCACCACCCACCACCACCCCCCCTGCCCCATGGGGGATCAGATAGCGCCTCCAAGAATGAGGAAGTGGTTTTCCAGAGGAGCCCCTGGGGCTATGGAAATTCAGCAGTGGCCCCGGGCCACAAGCAGGGAGGGACCCCGCACCCAACCCCAGGAGGCAACCCCAAAGTCACACAAAGCACCACCGTGTGGGGGGGGGCCGTGTTGGTGTGAGGCGCTCCGCTCCCCAGTGCACCGAGGCCCCAGGCTGCAGGTGGGGACCCTCAACGACACTCCCCACGACAAAGGGCAGCTTTACCCCGAGTCCGTGGCCGCCTGAGCCCACTCTTTCCTCCCAGCAGGCTGCCTGGGCCGCGCCTTTGATCTGCGTCCAACATCCCCAGTGGGGAGGGAGGGAGAGAGGCTCATGCTGCCCCTGGGAGGTGATGAATTAGGAGGGAGGAAGGCCAGGACCCAGTCAATGGACGCCTTTTGTTCCCAGAGCCAGCCCCAGCCCGGCTCCGCGAGGAATGCGCGCAGAACGCAGGCGCCCAGCTAATGGCCCGCCTGGCCCCAGGGCGCCTCGCCGGCCAGATGTGGGCCTGCCCCCACTTCTCCTGCGGCTTGTGCTGAGTGACAGGCAGCACCCTGCAGCTGGGGGCCCGGGAGCAGGAGAGGGGTCCCCACGGCAGGCCTCTCCTGCCGACAGCAGGGCAGCCTGGGGCTGGCAGAGGCCCGCTGGGCTGCTCCAGGAGAGCACTTGCCTTCTCTCCTGGCTGCAGCTAGTTCTCGGGTCTTCTGAACCCCAGGGGGTGGTTTCCCTGCTCGCGCCGGGTCTCAGGAAGTCTAGGCTCAGGGCACACCCTGCTGTGGCCTCTGAGCACTGTGCGGGCCGCCCGGAGAACCAGCGGTCCGGATGGGGCCCGCGGGCGCAGCCCAGCCCCGGGGGCGTGTGCGGCTCTCTGCCCAGGAAGCCAGAATGGGGTCCCACTGGTGTCTCCTGGCGCTGAAGAACAAAGCCGGGGCTGCAAAGGGTGCAGGCAGCGTTGTCCTGTCTCCCCAAGAGAGGAAGAGGAAGGCGGGAGCCCCCACGTGCCACAGTGAGAGCGGTCGGAGGAAGGAAGAGAGGCAGAAAGCGACACAGGCTCCCTGTCCGAGGAAGCAGCTGGGGCCGCCAGCTGTGGACACCTGGCCAGCCTTTCGCGGGGACCCGTGAGGACCCCCAGTCTGCGGACAAGTCCGAGTATTACAGATGGACCTGGGCTCCAAACCGGGACGCCCCACCCCCCAGCACCATGCCCCCACACGCACTCAGGGGCTCTGGGCCCCAGTGACCAAGGCAGGACAGACCAGGGTGCCAACCTGCCCCCGGCCGCGGGCGAGTCACTTAGTTTCTTCCCCAGATTCTGTAAAAGTGGAGACAAAAACCACACACCTTGCGAGGGTGGGGGAAGATCAGATGCTGTGTCGGTGAGGGGGGCTGAGCAGTCAGCCATGCCTAGCCCAGGGATAAGGGGCGGACGCATAGAAACTTCTCTCCCAGAGTTGGTGGCTCCCAGGTGCCTGATCAGGGAACGCTCCACCAGAGGGAATTTTCCTGATTACTGACCAAGACCCCTTAAATGTACATTTTTTCATCAATTTAGCCCATTTGAATCAAAGTATATTAATGCCAGATCACTACTTTCCTTTAAAAAAAAATTAACATAACTCTTTTAAAATGCATAGTGGTCGTCACTGGTGGGGGGTAGGAGGGCGGGGTAATTACACGGGGTGGGGGGAGCCTCTGACTGATCCTAAGTGGGGTGCCCCCCCGGTGGTGGTCATCCTCGCCTACGCGGGCCTCCCCCCTCCAACTCAGCGGGGCAGAGGCAGCTCCCCGGAAGGTGTTCTGGGACACCAGACAGGGCTGCACCCAAAGCTGGCACAGCGGATACCCAGACGCCCCCGAATGCACAGCCTCGTGGATGTGACACAGCCCCTGACCCACAATGCCAAGTGGACATTCACCGAACACTGTCCACACAGGCAGGAAGCAACAGGAAGCTCTGAAAGCCAGGAGATGCTGGTTCCTTGCCCTTCTAAGAAAGGAACAGTCGTGGAGGAATGACCGTTCCTACCCTGAGGCCACTCCAGTTGCGGGGCCACACGGCCAGCTGTCCACAGGACTCGGCCCACGAGCTCAGACCCACAGCATGCACCGCAGTCAGCAGAAGTCAAGGCACATTCAATGGCACCTTGACGGAAGCTATCCTGAATGTCTGGGTGTTTTCAAAGCAGCGGCGGAAGGGTGTTCAATACCAGCTCCATGGGGACACCCCTGGGAAAAGCACCCTCCTCTCACGCACCCTCCCCTGCTGGGCCACGAGGGACCCAGAGGGACCCAGACAGTGCCAGTAATGGCTTCCCACACTCCAACAGTAGCTCTGACTTAACCAAACATCTATGGAACTAACCAGCTAACCGGGACGCCTTTCTCAGGATCGACAGAGGTGGCCACGGGGGTCTCCACATGCAAGGGGCACAGAGGACTCCGTGCTTACAGAGTCCCACCAGAACGGACCAAGACCGTCCGGACCCCAGCCCAGTTCCCGGTGCCAGGAGCAGACCCCACCCGAGGCTCAGGCGTGAAACAGGGCCTCTCCCAGAGAAAGCCGTGGCTCAGAGCCACCTAGGGAAGCCTCCTACTCAGAGAGCCTTGGCCCCACAATAGTCACAGGCTGGCTGAGGCTGGCGGGTTCTCCAGCAAGTACGCCCTGCACCTACCCCACACACAGGAGCGGGGATGGGGGGGGACCAGGGGGAGGGTTCTGAGAGGGAACAAAGGGCTTTCTCCCCACACGGGGGTGGTTTATGCCAGGCTGATCCTAGACAAGAAGCCTGAGAGCCAAGGGCACTAGCCAGAGCTTTGGTCCGGATCACTGTTGGTCATTTTACTCACCTATAAAATGGGCCAGCCAGCAGCGGGTCCGAAACCTTCCCCTCTAGGCCCTCCCCTCACTTTTCTTGCCTTTTTTGCCTTCTTCCCAGGCCTTTTTTTTTTTTTTTTAATCCCCCTTAGCAACATCCCCTGCAGGACCATAATATTTGACCTTCACCTCCCACGGTCATATTTGCAAGCTGCTCCTCTCGAAACCATTAGGGGCCAAAGCTAGACTCTGTAAAAGCTGGTCAATTTGCATCCAGTAGCGCTGGGTTTTAGCAGCTGCTACTTTTCCCACCTTCTCAGTGCTTTGCAAAGAAAGAACTCATCTGCTGCCCCAGCTCCCAGTTTGCAACTCAGCTAAGGAACCTGCTGTCAGAACCTGCTGCATCCAGCAGCAGGGGTGAGGACGGGGGGGTGGGGGGGTGAGGGGGGTGAGGATGGGGCCCTGCGCCACACCACCTTTCATCACCTTGAACAAGAAGCTTAGCTTTTCTCTTCCTCCGACTGTACCTCTGTAAAATGGGGCAATAACCCCAGTCCCGTCTGAGGAATGCCATTGGGATGAAATGCAATAAAAGCATGCAAAGCACTTAGAGCCAGCAAATGCTCAGAAATACCTGCTGTTACTATGTTTTACTTTGCCGCTGAGGTCACTATTACTTGGCACTATTGCAAAGTAAGATACTATTACTTTGTGTCTGAGGTCAGGAGTCTGGCCTCCGGCCAGATCCCAGGCAAGCTCCGGTGCACAAAGGTCCCCTCTTTCTCCGCCAACTGGCCTGGCTCCCTCCACCCTCCAGCTGCACCGACTGGGGGCCCCTCCCAGGCCCCTCCAAGGCCTCTCCACAGAAACGCCTTTCTTAATACTTGTTGATTGATTTGCAAATATAACCTCCCAGGCCCCAGGGAGGAGAGAATACAATCTCTTTCAAAGGGCAGAGAGCTAACCAACCAAACCAACCACGCACTTCAAAGCAGGCCAGGGGCAGACCAAACACACCAAAATGTCAAACCGGCCTGCTCTGAAACGCTCTGCAACTTTAAGGCAATGAAAACTTGCGCCCCGTTTTCAGCGCATTTTTACAGTGTTGGAGGATCCCGTGCATGAAAACCTCCAGAAGGTCAAAGTGCGTGGAGGACTGGAACTCCCTCAGGGTCCGGGGGGTGGAGGGTGGGGAGGGCTTCCAATCAGGCAGTGACAACCCCCCACCCCCCCGACAGTGCATCCTGCTGGCCCCACGTCCCCGAGCGCTTTTATTAACCGCAGTGAAGAAGGGGTTCTCCCTCAGGCAGCTCGGGAGTCCCTTCCCGCCACACAACAGATTTTCACATCCCTTCAAGCAAAGACCCCAGCGCCCCGGTCAGGCCGCGGCGCCCACCCGCACGCAGACCGCCCCCCTCCCGCGCCCCGCGCGCCCCGACCCTCCCCCGTGCGGCTTGTCAGCGACCGCGCCGGGGGGCACGTGCCACAGGTGGCGCCAGCCCCGGCGCCCCTCGCGCCGCTCCTGCGCCTCCAGAAGTCAGGAGGGAGCGTCCAGGGTCTCCCCCTCCCCCCCCCCGCCTCCCGCCCACCTCGGGGACCGGGACAGGGCCCCGGTTCGGCTCTCCGCCCTGCAGTCTCGGGACGAGTCCCCGAGAGCGAAGTCCGCCGCGAAGTGCCGCCCCGGCCGCGCCCTCGGCCCCCGGCCCCGCGCCGCGTCCCCCGACCCCCGGCAGGGCCCCCTCCCTTCCCCCGCGCGCGCCCCGAGCCCCTCCCCGCGCCCGGCGCGCGATCGCGGCCGCCGGCCCGAAACAAAGCGGGCGGCGGCGCGGCCCCGTACCTGGGCGAGCGGCGGGTCTCGCGGGGCGATGGCCGCAGCAGGCCGGGCGCCGAGCTGCGCGGCGGCAGCGCGGGCGGGCGGTCCTCCTAGCTCGCGGCCGCGCCCGCCGCAGGGCCCCCTCGAGGCGGCGCGGGCAATCGCCACCGTCGCGCTCGGCCGCCGGTCACCTGGCCCCGGCGCCCAGCCCAGCGGACGCCGACCGGGCCCGCCCCCGTGCGCCCCCGCGGGACCGCGAAACGGTGAACCCACCTGGGGGCCCCTGCTCCGGGCGTCCGCGGGCCGCGGGTGGGGCGCGAAGGGCTTCGGGAGTCCTGATCCATGCAAAACTGGCTCGTTCGTGCATTCATTCATTCCCTCATTCATTCAGCCTTGCATGCGTGTAGCCTGCGTGCACCCCGCGCTACAATTACGCGCACTCGGGAACGCAGACCTCCCTGCCCGCCTGCAGCTTACAGTCTAGTGGGGTCGTGCAGGCACAAAACCGCACGGCCATGACAGGCAAAGAACAAGATGCTCTACAAGATCCTGGAAGGTCAGGCCAGTGGAGGGAGGGGTCAGGGGAGACTTTAAAGGTCACATGACTTCCTAAAATGAGCCTGGAGAAATAAGCAGGATTTAGGCTGGCCAGGAGCCTTCAGGAGGAGCAAGTCCCCGGGAAGAGGGATGTTCAGGGGAGGCAAGGCAGAGAGATGCCAGCACCCCTCCCCCAGACCAAGAAATCCCCTCAAGTCAGCCTCTCAGCCTCGGTTTTCCCATTACTGAGATCCAGGAAATGGGCAGCACCCTTCGAAGATCCCCTTGGAAAACGCACCGCCTTCTGCAGAATTAGAAGTGGTCTTCCTTGGGGTGCCTGGGGGCTCTGTGGTAGAGCATGGACTCTTGATTTCCCCTGGGGTCATGACCTTGCAGTTAGTGAGATCCAGGCCCACGGTCACAGCACAGCCTGCTTGGGATTCTCTCTCTCTCCCTCTCTCTCTGCCCCTCCCCTGCTCTGTCTCTTCTCTCAAAATAAATAAATAAGCTTTTTTAAAAAACTTTATTTAAAACACACTAGGAAAGAACTGCTTCCTCAGTGCAGGAAGCCCTTCACACAAGGAAAGCACCTGCAAGAAGTTACCCACGCTAGGTCTTGAAGAAGAGGGACACAGGGATTCTGCTGGCATCCCACCTGGAGAGGGCTGCCCTTGAGGGGCAGTTACCAGAAGCTTCCCCTGATCAGGGGCGCAATGTCTCATCAGAAGTGCATTGTTCCACGAGGTAGAAATGCATTGCCCTATGGGGTAGCATTATTCTAAAGAGGTCAAAATATGTTGTCACTCATTCTCACCCTGAGCTGGGCGTTCATTCTCAGGGGTGAGAGCTTCCTGAGCACAGAGCCCCAGGTCTCAGAAATGGGACATTTTTCCTGCCCTCTAGGAAACCCCAGCCCGGGGGGCTGACAGAACCAGGCAGGGTGGGAAACCAGAAAAGGAGCCTCAGGGGGAGGAGGGGAAGAGTTCGCAGCCAGCTGACCCCTAAATGGGGCTGCGGCTGGTGTTATTATCTATCCTTTTTACCCAGAGGGAAACAAGCTGAAATCCTAGGTAATTTGTCCAAGGCCCCCCAGCTGCTCAGCAACAGAATATGAGAAAGATCCAGAATCATCAGGTCAACAAGCTACGCTTACTCGCTTACTCTCTTCCGAGCTCCCCTGCTCCGCCCATCCGTCCAGCACATCTGAACAGCCCAGAGCCTACCAGGTCTATCCATCTTGGTGTCAGAATCTGTCACAATGTCCAGGTCCCTGCTGGCTGAAGACTAAGTGAACTTGAACTTCGTAAGGTATCAGGATGTCCACTTGCTAGAACGAGCTTGATATACTCACCCAAGATTGCACAGCTGGGAGGCTGGGCGGCTTTGTGCCTGCCCGGCAGCCTCTTCTAGAATTTCTGTCCTCAAATTGTTCTCCCTCAAAGTCCCACCCGCCGCACTGCCTGTCGCCAGCTGGCCAGCCCCAATCACCTCCTTATTTCTTGGGCTGTGGGGACTTGGAGTGTCTGTCCTCATTCACCCCCCTCAGCGCCCCAAGAAGGGAGGAGGCGCCCTGCACCTGGTGTTCTCGAGTATTCTGCAGCAGTCCGTGCGGCAGCCTCCCTGATTCAGCAAAGTGCAGATGGCCACACCTGCGGGGTGCCTTCTCAGGTCGGAGGCCTCCCCCCTTCACCGCCCACAACTGTGAGTTTCCAAGAACTTCAACAAAAAGCGGGACATGCCGCAATTATCTGAAAAAGGGACACGGATTTTTTCCATCCTTACCCATCCAAAAATATCTCAAATCTGAAAGCAAAGTCTCCAACCTGTATAGCTGAGGGAAAAACAGCCTTTCATGAGAGCAGCCAGTCCCTTCCCAGGACAGCAGACCGGGCAGGGGTGAGTCTGGGTGGGGGAGCTCTGCCACATCTCCAGCGCCCCGAGCCCCTCTGTGCTGCCTCACCCTTGTTCCTTTCCACTGGCGTTCCTGAAAGAACTTTCTGGAAGCTTGTCACTGCTATGAAGATGGTCTTGGCCGTGGCCAAAGTCTGATAATTTAGTATCCCTGGGTCAAAGGAAGCATGTGGCCAATGACTTGGATAACTTTCTCATTTCCTCGCGCTGAAAATGAACATTTTCCAGAGAGCTGCTTGGAAGGGGCAGCAGAAAACGGGATGCAAGACTCAGTTACCCAGTTTGCGGTGCTGTGCCAAGCCCGCGTGGTGCATTTGGGTAGTGTGCTCCTTGCAGGATCGCGGGGATACATCACCCTCTCCCCAAACACACAAGCCGGCAGCTCACCTCTTCTGGTTCCCAGAGCCTTTCCCAACCCTGTGGAACCTGGTACCCTCTCCGCCACAGTGCACAATGTCGTCTGTGGCCGTGGCCCTGGGAGCCCACCGCCTGTGCCGTTGCCAGGGCCGCGGCTGTGGGTTCTGGGGCAGAGAGGAGCAGGGCCATTCCCTGGGCGGGGGGGGGGGGGGGGGGGGGGGGGGGGGGGGAGGGGGGCAGGCGGGGGCCGGTGCTGTGGGTGCTGTCCTGGAATGCACGGGTTGGTCTCCGGGGTGGGCCACCCCCCCTCCCCCTGCAGAAAGACGCCCTTTGCAGAGGCAGCCGAGGGCCGGCGAGTGTTCATCTGAGGGAACCGGGTGGTTCTTGCATCCCTCGAGGGCTGCCCTCTCCAGAACGACGTGCTGACTCGGGGCTCCCGCCAGGCTCCGAACAGGGTGCCTGCCCCGGCCCCGCCAGCAGCCGCAGACCCAACCCAGCTGGGCTGCAGCCTGCAGGCACTCAGAGTGGGAGCCCAGGACACCCGAAGCAAGGAGTGTGAGCACACGCACGACAACGGCCGAGCGGGGAGGAAGATGCCACCGGGCAGACCCGTCTGCTGTCCGCCTGCCTGGCCTCTGTTCATGCAGCCCCCGCACTCCTAACTGGACCAGGATGCACAGACCTGCCTTCCACCTGCCTCGCTTTCCCCATGTCTGAGCCACGGGGAGGCCCCTGGCCACCTGAAGGAGGAGGGTCTGGAGTGGCTGTGTTCTGCCCCCTACCCTCACCCCGCCTCCCTTCACCCCATCGCCCCGCCTGCCGCCGGGGACCCTGCTCCAGGAGGAGAGCCCCAGGGGTCGTTGGCGCTGCTGTCTGCCTTCTCCCCAGAGAGCTCTCAGCCTCCCTGGTGCTGGGCTGGGTGCGCGGGCCGTGGCGAGTCCTCTGTGAGGGTGTGTTTTGAAGAAATGGGTGATCCGGGAAGAATGAACAAATCCAAGAGGTCGGGAGAGCCGGGAGCACTAAGTGACTGATGTTGAGACCAGTGTCCAGAAGGGGTGAAACGCACCGTCCAGATGTGCAAGGATTTATTGATCCTGCCATCCGTGTGCCAAAGAGGGTCGCAAAGGTGCGTCGGTCCCAGCTCAGAGTCCAGAGAGCTGAGGTCCGGGCGGCCCAGTGATCGCCACAGGTCACACACACGGCGCTCCCTTTGGAATGAACTCGATCCTTTATTCAAAACACCCCTGGAGAGGTACCAGGATGGCTCAGTGGGTTGAGCGTCCAACTTTGGCTCAGGTCATGCTCTCACGATTAGTGGGTTCAAGCCCTGGTTGGGCTCTGTGCTGACAGCTCAGTCTGGAGCCTGCTTCAGAGTCTATCTCCCTCTCTGCCCTTCCCCGACTCACACTCTGTGTGTATGTGTGTGTGTGTGTGTGTGCGCGCGCGTGTGTGTGTATGTGCGTGTGTGTGTCTCAAAAATAAATAAACATTTAAAAAATTTTTTAACTATACATGTAAATATCCGTGAGTCCATACAGATTGATTGATTGATTGAATGTATAGCTAAGTGGCTAACAGGCAAAACTTGCTAGCAGAATTCCAGACAATCTGTATGTCTAGTTCCCCCTCCAGGGGACAGGATGACAGGGCCTCATCCCCAATGAGTGTGGCTGCACTTGGTGACCTCCTTCCCCAGAGAAAGCAGGGGGTGGGGGTCTGGGAGCAAGTGAGGTGGGCAAACCAGATGGCCGTGACCTCGGCCTGGTGATCAGGGGGCGCGGTGACAGGGGTCCCCGTGTGAGGTGTTGGGACTAGAGGTCCGCCTCCGTGCTTCTTCCCAGCTCGCCCTGAACCCCAGCCTGCACACGAGGAAATGCTGGCCCGTCCCAGCTGAGGGTCAGTCCAGAAAACACCTGACCGGTGCTCGTCAAAACTGCCCAGGCCATCAGAAACGAAGTCTGAGAACTGCCTGGCCAGGAGGATCCCTGGATGGGGTCCCGGGGCAGAGAAAGGACAGCAAGGTTGGGGGAGAACTCCGAATATGTGTGGGCTTTGGGGACAGTGAGGTCCCAGCCCTGGTGTCTTAGCTGTGACAAGGTGACACTGTGAGCCAGGGTACGGATCAGGGAACAATGGTGGGCATGCGCGTGGAGGTGGGCTCTCTCTGGGACCATCCAGAAGTGTCCCAGAGGGACAAGTGTGAGGTGTCACCACGGATCGCCCCCACACCCCCCAAGTGCAAGGTGTCACCACGGACAGCCCCTTCCACACCCTGAAGCAAGCAGAGCACGCCCCCCTCCAAAACTTCCTGTGAACCTCTGGCCACAAAGAAATCTGCTTCCCTTGCACAGGGAGCTTGTCCAAACCCGCACAGGTGAACGTGTGGCGTTCTTTTCCTCAATCTCCCCAGCACATCTGCACCCTTCTTAAACATTGTTTTTTGTTTTTGAGTGAAATACTAGATTTATTCCAAAAGAGATCAAATGTCCCAGTTAAAGCACCTGCGCGATACTTCTTGGATTCTGTGTTTCGGACAAATGGCCGCGTGCTCACTGGCATGTCTGTACCTCAGCATCAACAGTGGGCACAGCTTGGGACATACGCCGC